GGGGGGGGGAGGGGTCTTTCATTTGTTTGTTTGTTTATTTTGCAGTGGATTAACAGCAGCAGGATAATGATTCTCCAAAGCTTTTTTATCATAGCTTATCATAGTCTGTCGGTATGACAACAAAATTTCCAGTTCATATAAATAAAGTGAGATGGCAACGACTACAAGTTCAAATCAAACATTATTGGCAAAGAAACTCTTGCAAGAGATCCCTCTGGCTGAACTACATGTAACTGCTGACAAGTTTACTCCCCCTAACAAGAGATCCGAATCATAATCAAAATTAATGGCTTCACAATTACTTCTGTGCAGCAAGTCAGAAGTGGGCCTTGAATGAACTCTGTATGATCTCAGCCTCAAACTGCTGTGATTTGAGTGCTTGCAAATTACAACTTAATAATTAACCAACACAACTCAATTCAGTATCAGGGTCAACAGCTCCACATCTTTTAATTACATTATTAATACTTTCTGACCATATGGACTTAGAATCTAGGGCTACTAAAGAAAGGATTAAAGAAACAACAAACAAAGTTTCAAAAAATTATGAACCTAATTCCCCCCCAAAAAACAAGAAATATATATAAGAAACCATAAACATATGGGACAATCCTGTTTGTGGGACTGATTGCCCCTAGATGAATGAAAAACTACATGCATGCAATAAGAATAAATAAAAGTGTCAGAGTAAGAAAAAAAAATCTTATTTAAAACGTCAATGGTCCAATTGTGTACATACTTGCTAATTTCACCTTGCCCATTCTATATGTATTGCTGGTGTATATTTTCTGCTACAGCCTTGATCATATGATTGACCATATTAAATTACAACTGTATACTTGTCACAGGGTTTTGCATATAAAAGACAAAAAGGTACAAATGTACCTTGCCTGCACCCTACCTGACCGTCCATCATCTTCACACACCTCGGCCCAGGAATGAAACAGCTTGATCTGTTTGTCTTCAGTCAACATAACATTGAAAAGAGATGCAATCAAGGCATTCTCACGAAACTCTCCGGGAACACTGAAATATTCTGGCTGCAAAGAGATCTCAAGAGTAAACTCATAGTTTGCTCTGTCACTCTCAAACCATTGGAATGCTCTAACATACTCAGGGTCTATCAGTTTTGCAATCTTTTCCATCTTTGCCATAAAGTACTGATGGAAACGTCCCTTAGCTTCCAAGTAAGCCATGCGGAATTTTTCATCATCCTTGATACTGTCTGCATATTTTCTTAAAAGTGGGTGAATGTCATACAATCTCTCCTTGGCTTCTTCATTAACCACAGAAATGATTGAACTAGTTACCAGCCCCTCCAGCCGAGCTAGAGCCTCTGCCTGATTTTCTGGGCTGATGCCGAGGATCTCAGCAGCTGTGGAAACAGAGAAAGGGCCACAGAACAATGAAATTGATACAGCAGACACTTTTAAGCTATCAGTGGGAAGTGAATTGAACATTTCTCTTATTGTTGAGAACTGGACCTCATCAAGTCCTTCTTCTTCAAAATTAAATGGCTTTTCTTTAGCGTCTTCTTCCACTTTTGATTCCCGAACTTTAGCAATAAGATCGTCCGGAGATTTTCGTTCTTGTCGCAAAATGGCAGCTAAGCCTTTCAAAAGAAGTGGTTTTCCATCGGAGATGCCAATTAGCTCATCCATCTGTTGGGTGTTTACATTAACCATTCCTTTGGAAACCAGGATTTCCTCTGAAGAGGAACTTTCAAGGGACTTCACCTCAAAATTGTCCACGCTCTTGGCATCTTCCAATGGATTCCTGGATGTCAGGAGCACTTTTAACGATGTTTCTTTCTCTTTCCCGTCAAATCCTGAAAGACGTCCTAAAAATTGCAAAAAAGCTCTTTTCAAGTTCTTGCCTTCCTTCCCTTGTCCAGCAGTAAACTGATCAACATTATCGAGTAAGAAGAGAATTGGCTGATTTAACACTTGAATCTTCTCGTTAATTACTGTAACAACAGAATTCAGGTCAACGTAGCCCATTGCAACAGTAAGTCCAAGGGAACTCAACAAGTTCAGATAAATCGCCCTCATATCTTTAGCCTCTCTTAGATCAAAAACAAAGTTCTTTCCTTGCCATTTAGAACAAACTCTCTTTGCTAGTGTTGTCTTTCCCACTCCAGCCGATCCAAACAAGTTCACAACCAGCGACCGTTCTGTAGTTTCGAGTTTTTTCGTAATTTCCCCAAGCTCCTTTTGTCGCCCTGGCAATTCCTTCTCTGGATCAACGTGTTCCTCCAGAGAGTCCTTAAAGCTTTTGATCATTTGCTTGATCTGTTCTTTCTGTTTCGATTTCGGCGCTACATACTCTTCGATCAGGGTGAGTTTGTTGTCAGACAGAAATCCATGCTTCGATAAAAGTTGCAAACTTGACAACAAGTCTTGATTATCGAGCGAATTAAATTTGCCTCCATAATTCCTTTTCAGTGATTGCACAACATCTTCTGATTCTGTTGGGTTAAACTTGAAAGATATGTTTGTAAAAAGTTCTTGATATCCTGGTGGGCTTCCGCTAACTGCCGCCATCTCTAATTGTACTGCTGACCGAAATACCTGAGCCGCAATCGGGAAAAATAAACGTCACGCGAGCGGGAACTTGAAAGAAAGAGTCACGCAACCTCTGCAAGCGAACCATTGGACGAGTGCAATCAGCTGCTTTTCAAGTCTTCCCAAGTGAATTATTTTTCGAAAGGATCGATAAACATTCGTTTCCCATAGAGGCAAAAATATACTACGCTGGAAAAGAAAAAGAAAAAAAGAAAAAGAAAAATCTATGTGGTCTGACAGACTGTAAACAAGATAGTTATTTCAACGGTCCAAAACGGATCAGCAAACCGTTTCACACTGTCACACATGTAAGAAAGTTTTCGGCCCGTATTCTGACCAAAACCAGATTTAACGGTGTGTCAAACCGTACGGAGAACGAGGCTGTTTGTACCAGACCTTAATTATCATTTTGCGAATATTCTACATGAGCTCTTACTTCCAATTAAAAATGGATAATGAAATCTTTAATGGATAGTCTATGCAACTAAACTAGAGAATAGGCGAGCGCTCTCTGAAGTCATTCAGCTTCACTAACGCCATTCGCTACATCTGGTGTTACGTACTTCAATAATTTCCAGCAATGTATCTTTACAAAATTATAATAGTAAGATGGTCGATAGAGATACCAAACCTATGTTCTGTTGTATCGGCACCTATTGACAACCATTGTAGTTCCCGATATCTTAACAGAATTACTTTAAAGGGCGATTGATTGCCTAGGTAACAAAACAGGGATTAATTTTTAAACGGCCTTTAACTCTATTTAGACCGTGTTTTGTTTGATATTTTTCTCATAAAACATCAAGTTCCAATGATATGACATATATGATATGAAAAAAGTTATAAACGGTTAAAGTAAGCTTGTGTTAAAGCACTCCCCGAAATTAAAAATTGGCATGACTGTCGCTCTCTACGATTTCTTCTTTCGGAAAGGGCGGCTCTGACATAGGCAATAAAGGTACGGTTGAAGAAGAGCCGCTTCGTTTAAGACGTTTTGATTTAACTGAGGATGGAATAGTAAAAGATGACAACGATGACTAACCCTCGGACGTACAAGCTCACTCATAACCCCACTATGGTACAAGGGGGGCGGGGGTGGTGGATGGGAACCCCCCTCTTGGTTTTCGTTCTGTTAAGGCAGAGCGAAACAAATTTACATTGATTAGACAACCTTAAGCTTAGTCTACAAGATGATACCATTTTTGTTGGTAATGACGTCATACGAC